TGTCTCCATGATATTCAAAAGGAACATGTTACTTATTTATTTAGAACACAAGTTTTTGAGTTGGCAAACTTTTTAAAAAGCAGAGGGGCGAACCTGGCATATCCAGGCTTTCTTTGTGTAAACCGAATCGATAAAACCAAAGCCCCAGCCACAGATCACAGGTATCACGAAGGTGGTTCTAAACTTTCTTTGTCAACTCAGACTTTCTACTTCAGACTTCTTCACATAAAAAGAGGCGTTTAAGGCGTCACGTGACTCTTCTTCTGCACTAAATGAAACGATCGTGTGCAGCTGCTTCAGTCAACACGTTGTTTTAATGGAGAACAATGAGGAATATAATATTTATGACAGTAAAAAGTGCCGCTACTGCAAATGGTGCAAGACAGAAATAAACGTTTATAATAATATTTTACTGATGCAGCCGCTTATTTCCAACTGACAGCTGCACCTTAAACTTCAAACGTCATACATTTAAACCTGATCTTGTATTGAAGGTCATTTAGGTCTGACGCTGTCCCATAATGTCTTATCTGTAACAAACAGCAGCCTAAAAACAGCTTCTAAGTCCGTTGTGTAAAAACATTATTACGTCATCACACATAATTATGTATGATATTAGCTATTTACTGGCGTGGACGAGGCCTCCAGGTATCATCACCGGGCCGTTACACTGGACGTAAAACCTGCAGTTTGCCACGAGTACGACTATAAAACAGGAGATTACACAAGAAGGGAGAGACTTCATCATCATAACACAATAAAATGAGACACAGATGTGTTGTTTTTTTTGTTTAACCGCTAATCTACCTGCGTTTCTTGCGTGTTGGCGCTGCGTGGTGCGAGCAGCTGCAGCTCACCGGGCCCTCAGCACCAGCCTGTCATCAGGACTAATAGGATTGTTTCTTATTCAGCTCATCTTGCATGTTCGCCGTGTTCAGCAGCTGCATTCACACACTACGCAAGCGAGCTTACGAGCAAGTGGAGCAGGTTCGTCTTCGCTTTGGCCTCTTTCTGCTCTCGGGCCGCCTGCCAGCATTGTTGGCATAATGCGGAAATCTCCCTCCATCTCGCCTTTGTGTCTTCATTCGTGCTCCATTTCTCTACTTCCTCTCTACAACCTCCTGTGTTTTTTTCTAAATCCTCCAGAAAACCACTTGTGGTCGTCGGCCTCCGAACACGTATACTGTACATAAGTCGCAGCTATCGACCGCGGAGTCAGAGTGCAACACATTATTACATTATTGATCCCCTCCAAGGTCAGCTGCTAATCAGATGGTAAAGCTAACCCCCTTTTTCATTCACGGAGACTGCTGTCACTCTGCAGCTCTCTCTTCTCTCAACACAACAGCGACAGAACTGCTCCGGTTAGCGTTTGAGCCGCTGCTTCTTTTTCCATTGTTCACACACAACGGTAAGTTGCAAAGCAGCAGGATGCGATATGTAGTTCAGATCAGCTTTATGCTGAGTGAGGACGATTCCAGCTGCAGGGTGAACTCAGCACAGCATGACCACTAAACAAGCACACGTACATCTCAGGCCGAGGTTCGAAACATCACAGCGACAAAGCAGAACCACACGCCTCAGTTACAAGCTGAAAGTGTAGTTGTTGCCATCGTATTATAAATACGATTGACTAATATTTAGGTTAAGAAATGCAAGTCAGAAGAGATTGAGAAGAGATGCTTAAGATGGCACGTTTATATTTTCTAAAATAGTTGGATTTAAAGAGCCTATAAAAAGTAGGTTGGAGGTTTTCACATTTAGTTGCTTTTCAACATCATCCATCCATCATCTCTACACCTTAATCCTCACTAGGGTCATGGGGGGCTGGAGTCTATCCCAGCTGACTCAGGGTGAAGGCAGGAGACACCCTGGACAGGTCACCAGTCTATCACAGGGCTACACTTAGAGACAGACAACCAAGCACACTCACATTCACACCTACAGACAATTTAGAATCACCAATTAACCTCAACATGTTTTTGGACTGTGTGGGAGGAGGATGGAGAACCCGGAGAGAACCCACGCTGCACGGGGAGAACATGCAGAAAGCTCCAGGTGTCCTCACTGGGACGCGAACCAGTGACCTTCTAGCTGCGAGGCGACGGTGCCACATTAAATCGTGATTAATTCAATTTATTTTTATTTTTTTGACAAGTGTTTACCCCTAAAAAAGAGTATTTCATATCAAAGTGAAAACAGATAACTACAAATAAATGTACCTTAATTAAAAATATAAATTAATTAAATGATGAACTTGGGTTCTCTTCACCCAGGACGTCACATGAACCAACACTTTGGCACCAAGCTGAGGCTTCAATCATGAACATGATTGTTTTTCTAAGGTAGGAACCATAAATATATTATATAATGGAGATCCAACACAGCGAGACACACCTGTTGGATTAAAATAAAAAAGCCTGAGTGAGGGTTTTATTACCAGCAGTGTTTCCTGAAGTATTTTCTTTAACCAGCCCTGCTTTAGTATAAATACATGCTGGTTTTGTTGGTGCTATAAGTTGACTTTATCCATCTCAGTCCAGTGTGATATGTTATTGTAATAGTTTTGATCAGTTAAAGCTGTTTTTATCTGATTTAGAATTTTTTTAAAAATGTGTATCTAGGCAGTTTTTTCCCCTTTATAAATGTATGATTTTAACATTTCTGATTTATTAGATGCACAAGTGGGATTTTTGCCATCTTGTGCTGTAGGATAATTGCAAAAACATGGAGCGGCAGCAGAAAAGTTGAGTGGTGTGATCCAGGAGAAGGTGACTTATTGTGTTTTCTGCAGAAGTTATTTATCCTGTTGGGGCTTTAAGCAGTGACGGCCAATTCACAGGCCTGCTTCTCTAAACTTTCGGCAACCACCTCAAAATATATCATATTTTGTCACTTTTCTGATTGTGGAGGCTGTTGGCAGCAGTTCAGGACTATACTGCGATACAGCCGCTGGGGAGCAGCGAATATTTTACTCGTGACCTTCTGCGTTTCTTTTCAGAACTCTTTTGGAGGATACAAATGAACCGTGGGAGTTTGTATCCTCCGTGGTTACATTTTTTCACCTTGACACTTGTTTAAAATTCCTCGCTGTCCACAAAGCCACGGCGACCGTAACCCGCCTCCTTGAAAACGACGAGGCGCCGAAACGGGTCAAAGGCCGACTTCTGCCGGCCGACGACAGCATCAACGTGTCGCCTGTTCGTATCTTCGGGTCCCAGGACGGCTAATTAATTTTACTGCGGGCTGAAAACAAAAAAAACTGTTGTTTTGTGTTCTCGTCCAAAAAGTTTCCGCGGCGAAGGTCGCGACACGCCCATTAACATCACAACCCCCGACGCTGTTTTAGTCGAATGAGCAGGGACGTAATGAGCTCTCGTTTCCATGCAGCAGCTTCATCAAAGCCTCGCCGCCGCCGCCGCTGCTGCTTCTCTTCTGCTGCAGCCTCCTTAACCCCTAATTTCACCTTCACCTTAATCCTGCTCTTAATCTGTCATTGATCTCAATTAGAATAATAAAAGCATGTGAAGCTACGGCGTTAGCAGCATTAGCCAAAGTCCTGTAACCTCTGTGTAAAACAACATCATGAGACTAGCTGTAACCTCAGTCAGGATGCTGTTGGAGCGTCTGCTGCTGTCTTTTAATGGAATCTAATTGGTCAAATTATTGGTCTCTAGGCGTAAAAATGCCGCGTTATTGTCCAGATTCAGTGCAGTTACAGGTACAGGCAGATTAATTAATCCTGCTAAAGTCACTTTAACCGCACGAATAAATACTCTAGAGCAGGAAAATCAGGATATGTTACATCCTTTAAAGGAGGTTTTAAAAGAATTATGTTATTGAATACACTATTATGTTCTTGCGAGGAGTTAGCAGAGAAACATGAAGTTTGAGTTAATGAGCATAGCTTAGCATAAAGGAAAACAAGTTAAGGAATCAAGTTATGAAAGTAGTTATAACAAGCTCACACAAATACTGGTGGATTCTGCAGAACACTAGAGTTTTAAATCTGGTTTCCATGAGATTTTACATCAACCAGCGATGGCTGAGTTGCCAGAGCTGAAGACGGGAGCAACGCTAGCAATGGAGTTGGCGACTACGGTGGAAAAATGTAGTCCGAGAACAGGTTATGAGATGAAAAGAAAACTTGGTGTTCAGAAGAAAGATTACAGCCCAAAAAAAGACGGCGATAAAGCAGTGGTTGTGTGATTACTCTCACCGCCACAAGGGGGAGACAAAAGGTTTGCTCTGCAGGTTTAATGTACGCGAAGAAATGGAAAAGGAATATTTTGTGGTGTCCCTTTTTCTACAGCTAGCTGCTTGTGGATTTTAAACCGAACCAACACGGCGGCTGGTTTGGAAACTTTTATTACAAAAACAGTTCACCAGAATGTGTTTCCAAGACAAACATCACGCAGCGACTGAATCTGTCTTCGCTTTAGGTCGACAGTGGTTCATTTAAGAGTTTTTCTGGAGGTGTCGAGCAGCGGCCAGAAGCTCCTGATTTTGCATGAAGTAGTTTTTTCTGATTACAGTTTTTCCTTGTTTGATTATTTTGTGTATTTTATTGTCTTTTACAAACTGACTGCTTTGTGCACTTATTCTGTTGCAGTCTGACTAATAAGGTGCATCACTTTTAAATGTGCTGTATAAATAAACTTAAACGTACTGCAGCTGCCTTCATAAAGTATGTAATGTTTCATAAAGTATGTAATGTTTCATACAGTATGCGTACAATTGGGACATATTCGTCATACTATTGCGCCTTAAGCTTTGACTGTCATAGTTTGTGGTGCAGTAGGGTCTTGTTTATATTGGTGCAAGACACCGTAACTGTGAAGAAGATTGTGGGTCAGACAGCCCAGGAAAGTACGCAAACGGATGTCAAGAAGACCCAGGTATTCTGGGCAAACTAAATGTTCTTCTGGTCACTGGACAGTTTGGTAGTACGTATACTGGAATGCACCATCAGAACAAAGTGGTTCTCTGGGAGTTCCTACCTGGACAGAGCGATCTCAGCCTTCTGCCGGGCGATGTCGGCCGCCTTCTGCGCTCCCTCCACGGCCCGGTCCACCTTCTCTCGGATCTTACTGGCCCGGAGGGGGATCAGGTTCTTCCTCTTGCCGCTCACCAGGATGTTCTGCTTGTACTTCCCTTCCTCTTTGGTGCCGTCGGGGAACGTGGTGCAGCCGTAGCCGTGACGCTTGTTGCTCAGCCACTCGCCCTCGTACTGCAGCCCGTCGGACCGCCGGCTCACCCCGAACCCGGTCCGCTTGTCGTTCTTCCACTCGCCGCAATACGTCTCTGTCGCCGTGGCATCCACGTCGTCGTCGGCGACAGCCAGCTCTGCGTCCGCGTCGCCAAGGCTGCAGAGGTGAAAGGTCACATCGGGTTAGATTGGAAGTAAATCCTATTTATGAGTCAAATGAAGGTTATGAAGAACAAGAAATGGTTGGTTAGCAGGTAACCAGTGGAGGGAACGTTTCTAGAACATTTGTTGAATCACCTGCAAGTTCTAATAATGTCGAAAGAAAATGTGATATTCAAATATACAAAGAACGTTTTAAGAATAGTCTCCATTTACAATAACGTTCTTATAGAGTTCATATGATGTTCTAATGTCAACACTCAGAAGATGTTGTCAGGAACACAGATTATGTTCTATGACAAGAAAGGAGGAACGTTCTCAAACCAACTTTCCAAAAATGTTTTCCAGACGTTATCAATGCTTATCACTGCAAGACAAAACTGATCCAAATGGAAATGAAACAGTGCAGGTGCATGAATAGGAAAAGTAATGAGTGGAAAATGTCCAAGGGAGTGTTTCAGGAATGAGGATCATCATTTAAAAATGTAAGCGTCGTCCGATATTGAATCAGCTATATACGAACGCTCCGCAAATGTTTATCAGGCTCTGAGTTTCAGCGTGAAGCTGATAGAAAAGCACACAGACCTGCCAACTTGCTGCGTCCTCGCTTTCTAATTTATTCTAAACACGTTGCAACTAATCCTCAGAGTTTTAGAGTAAAAAACATCCAGAAATGAGGCGAAACACATTTTTAAAATGCGCCTTTTTCTTGAAAAAAATAACTTAGGAACAGTGTCTCTCAGATATTTCTTTTAATTTGCTCTTCCCTCAGGGCTTTTTGAAGCTACAATTTACAGAAGTTCCCTTGAAGCCTTGCATGCAGACTCTCAGAAGAAGCTACAATTTACAGATGCTCCCTAAATGGGAACCAGAGAAGCTTCTGGTCTCCAAAAAATTAGCTTGAAAGTAGCAAAATAACATGTTCTCCAGAGCAGAACGTTGGCTGCTGTTTGCTGCATTCTGAAGTCCTGACAACTTGCAGTTTCCAACCGTTTCCAGTTTATTCTAAACACGGTGCAACTGCTTCTTATAATTTTAGAGCAAAACTTCCATAAAAGAGATGAACCCCAGTTTCAAATCACAGTCACGAAACTGAAAATACACTTTTTCTTGACAGAATATCTTCTGAAGAATCCTAAAAAGAACTCCAAAACAGATGCATTCACAGTGTCTCTCAGATATTTCTCCTAATTTGCTCATCCCTTGGGTATTTTTGAAGCTACGTTTTACAGATGTTGCCTAAATGGGAACCAGAGAAGCTTCTAGTCTCCAATTAGTTGCTTTTGACACCAAAAATTTGCTTTAAAATATCAAGATAAAGTATTGTAGTCGCAGTAAACAGATCTTTGGTTGACTCTGGAGTCCTGACAACTTGCTGTTTCTTCCCTTTTTCAGTTTATTCTAAACACGTTGCAACTACTTCTGATAACTTTAGAGCAAAAACACCCATGAAAGAGATAAAACACATTTTTAAACCACAGTCACGAAACTGAAAATACACTTTTTCTTAACAGAATATCTTCTGAAGAATCCTAAAAACCCAAAACAGATGCATTCACAGTGTCTCTCAGATATGGATCTTAATTTGCTCATTCCTCTGATAATTTTGAAGCTACATTGAACCAGAGAAGCTTCTAGACTCCAATTAGTTACTGCAGCTCAGGCTGGTGTGTGACAAAAAATTACCTTAAAAACAGTGAAACAAAGCGTTCTAGTTGCATTTAACAGATCTTTGGTTGCTGTTGGCTTCACTCTGGAGCTCTTCCAACTTGCTGTTTCTTCCTGTCTCCAGTTTACTCTAAACAAGTTGCAGCTCCTTCTAATAATTTTAGTGCAAAAACATCTATAAATGAGATGAAACGCATTTTAAAATGAAAATGCACCTTTTTCTCTCCAGGACGTCTTATGAAGAACCCCCCAAAAAATTAAGAACCAGTGCGTTCCTCTTAATTTGCTCGTCCCTGTCCATCCACACAGACTCCTGCGTGGTCAGAAAGCCTCTGCACAGCTCCTCTGTTGGTCCAGAATAATAATAAGTGTCCTGCTGACTTGTTTTCATCTCGCCTCCTCAGGCCCATTAATTAGATTTATATTTCCCCACGGTATGTTTTCGCCGGCCGCGGCACATGATTTATTTCTGTAATATGTTCACAACATGCACCATCCACTGATAAAAAACTAACACATCGGTAAATAATTGATTAACAGCAATACTTTTGATGTGTTTTATCCTTTAAAGAAGCCTTTTCTGGGCATGTTTGCAGCAGTCTAATGAAAATCCTAGAAGTTTCTCTCCTGCTCGGCTTCGCCAATAATCAATCAGACCTGATAAGCTGCTGTCAGACACTTTGCCAACAAACAGGTTAAGAGCTGCTGACTGTTGTCGTCTGGTAATTGGTGCTTTTCAAAATAAGCCGCCTCAATCCAGCGTACTGGGAATCTGACGCACACGCGGACTTTTCTTTTTTTGTTTTTAAACCAGCTTGTTCACTTTCTAATCGACTCTGATTGAAACGATTGGTGAGGAAAACAATGGACGACAGCAGAACAGAGGGAACAAACACAATCGGCTTAACGCTGAGTGACTCAACGAATAACCGGAACCGGCACCGGTCCAGCTCACCGGGAAGCTGACCTCTGACCTATTGGCCGATTGGGACGGCGTGCCAATCCATTTTAGAGTCACTTAAGCAGGACAGGTGCCTGTTGTTGCCTTGAATCTATGTCCTCCAGATGAAGGACGGTTCTCCTCCACACAGCGTCATTTCATTACCTCGGGACAGAGCCGGCGTGTGACACAGAAACGCTGCTGAACACGTCCCAAAGTCACGACATCCAGCGTTTAAAGCAACGCTGGTGAGAAAAGACAAAACTGTCCTCCTCCAGCGATGAAAAGTTGAATTAAGAAATAATAAAAAAGTGAACAGTTACAGTTTTATAGCTGTTCATCATCATGTGGGCTTTCCCAAATGGTTTAAAGATAAAATAATGTTAGTGTATGTAAACTTCTGACTTTGAAGAAAGCAATAAAAAAAAATCTCTCTGTTATTATTCTGGCGTTTAGCAAATAGAAATCATTTTGGTGATCCTAACTGACTTAAAACAGGAAAAGTTTGTGCGATTTAAAGTCAGACAGGAAGCTTCTAACTGTAAGTTTTTGTACAATTTGCTGTTATTTAACATATTTTCCTAAATTCCAGAAAATTACTCGTAAAAAAAAAAGTAAAAAGTATTAATGTACTAATCAAGTAGTGTATTTCAGCAAAAAAATATAATTATTTAACAGATTCTTGCTTTTATTTGAAAGAACATGATGTTTAAAAAGGACTGACAAATAGTAAATCATCTTTTTAACTGTTCTTTTACAGATTTGTTCAATTACAGATGCTAAAGTAGCAAAAAGCTACAACTGCAAATAATGTCCACATCCAACATCTGTATGTTTATAAAAGGTCATTTGTTCTTTTACATTATTTGAGTCTAAACGCATACATTTCTATGGTATTTAAATTTGCCAAAAAATAAAAAAAACTATATTATTTTACTGATATTATGTATAATGTGGGATGATACATTTTAAATTGTTATTTTAGAGTTTGTTTTTTTTCAGTTTTGTTAAATTACAGATAACTAGTAAAAACCCACAAAAAGGATTAATTTACATGTTAACGCTGAAACAGACAGGCTACAATTACAAATAATGTCAACATTTTTTAAAAATCGGTATTTTTCCAAATCGTAATTTGTTCTTTTACAGTGTTGTTCAAACAAGCTCACATTTTAATGTGTGAAAAACCTACGGACAATGGGTCGATGGGCAATTTTTTAAAAGATTTTATCAAACATCTTTATAAATGTACAAATTTTATGCTATAAAATTTCAGGCAAATCCAAGATCATCTGTGCAGAAATGGTCCAAAATGATTTGAGATGAAATGATTGCTTCAGTAGAGAACGACTGAACTTCTCTTTCCAGTTCTTGAAGATGTTTAACGTTCTTCCAAGAAGCTCATTGAAGAACCCAAAAGAGAAGTCCAGCTGCCTTTTACTGAAGCTCTAATCATGTCAGACATAAATGGATCCCAGGATGCATTGCTGCAAAACAAAACCAAAGCCTTCATTGCATGCTCGTGATTTTTCTTGCAGACTTTATGGTTTGAGAGCATCCTCACTACCAGCAGTGGGCCTGGACCTGCAGCAGAACCTGCTGTAGTTACCTGATGGTGGAGTTGATGTCGGACGCCGCAGAGGACACGGTGCTCATCCCAGCTTCGCTCCTGAACGAGCTCTGCTTGGACCTCTGCGAGGCCAGCGAGCTCCTGGACTCCGACTTCCTCAGCTTGAGGCCGGACAGGATGGACCTCCGGAACAAGCCGCCCTTCCTCTTCCCCTTCAGCAGCTCGGCCTCGCTGTGCGCCGTCAGCACGAAGCCTCCCCGGGACACGGCCGGGCTGCTGCCGCTGCTGCCGGTGCTGCACATGGAGACGCTGGTGGACAGAGTGCCGGGGACGGGAGGGGGACCGGGAACCACGGCCCCGGTCCGGTCCAGCAGGGCCGTGCCGTTGCTGTGCTCTGAACCGGAGCGCAGAGAGTTTATGGAGGTTCGGAGCGGCGAGCGGATGACGGCCGCCATGCCGTACGGGACGCTCTGACGGACGCCGTAGCCATGTCGCATCCCGCCAACCCACTGGCCCTGAAATGTTCCTGAAGGGAGGAGAATAAATATGTCTCAGAAACAGGAAGTGGGGCTGCATTTTAAAAAACAACTACAAGATTCATATTATATATATTGATACTGGCTGATTGGTTGATGAGGTAGAGCAGGGGTGTCCAATCCTGGTCCTGGAGGGCCACAATCCTGCATGTCTTAGATGTTCCCCTCTTCCAACACACCTGATTCACATGATCAGGATCATTATCAGACTTCTGCAGAGCTTGATGATGAGCTGATCATTTGAATCAGGTGTGTTGGAAGAGGGAAACATCTAAAACAAGCAGGACTGTGGCCCTCCAGGACCAGGATTGGACACCCCTGAGGTAGAGTCAGACCATTCTCCAGCAGTACTGTGGAGGGAGGTCTGGTGAATCAGAGCATCCATTTGAACACCATCATTCATCTGCACAACTCTTACTCAACAGCTAGCATTCCTATGATAGCGCCACAAAGCCAGACTTCTCTCCACAGCGCCATGTCACTGCTGGAGAACAGTCTGACTGCTCCTCAGTGTCTTTATATTATAAATTAGTGACAAGGGAATTGTTTTGGTGGAACATCTGCATGTAGAGCGGCGAGCACTGTCATCAAAATGGAAAATAAAAATAAACAAACATGGCTGCCAAACTCAACATTTACATAATGTTAGCATGCAGATAGTAAAAGGGGAGGAGAAATCCACCTGAGACAAAATAGCAGACTTATACCCACAGTCTACATCCGGTGAGTCAGACTAACAATTTGCACGCCATCGTTAATCTGCACAACCGACCCTACAGTTAGCATTCCTACGATAGCGTCGCAAAGCCAAACTTCTCTCCACAGCACTGTGTCACTGCTGGAGGATGGTCTGACTGCACCTCAATGTCATTCTACCATAAAACAGTAACAGGGGAGTTGTTTTCGTCGAATATGTGCATGCAGCGTGGCTAGCATGGTCTCTAAATGGCCTATTTCACAGAAAAAAATCAAACAAGCAGGGCTGCTAAACCTGTTACAGGTTGCTGGTTAGCAGTTTCTGTTGTTGTTTTCTGTAGCGAAGGAGGTTTTAAATACAGTAACATGCAGATAGCAAAAGGGAGGAAGCTGCCGGAAATGTGTGACCAATTGTAGTCTTATACCCACAGTCTACATCTGGTTAGTCAGGCTAACAATTTGCACACCGTGATTAATCTGCACAACTCCACTTTAGCCACTGATGCTACAGTTAGCACGCCTCTGACTTCTCTCCACAGCTCTATGTCAGTCTAGGAGAATAGTCTGACTGCACCTCAGTGTCATTCTACGGTAAACTAGTAACGTGAGATTTGTTTTGGTGGAACATGTGGCTAGCACCGTCATTAAAACGGCTAATTCACAGAAAAATAAACAAGCAGGGCTGCCAAAGTCCACATTTATAAAATGGTAGCATGAAGGTAGTGAAAGGCGAGGAAGTAAGCCCCCTGAAATGAGCGACCAATGGCAGGCTTATACCAGCAGTCTACATCCGGTGAGTCAGGCTAACAATTTGCACGCCATCGTTAATCTGCACAACCGACCCTACGGTTAGCATTCCTACGATAGCGTCGCACAGCCAAACTTCTCCCCACAGCTCTATGGTCTGACTGCACCTCAGTGTCATTCTACTATGAACTAGTCACGGAGGATTGGTTTTGGTAGAATATTTGCACACAGGGTGGCTAGCATCTTCATTAAAATGGCTAATTCACCAAAGAAATGAAACAAGCATGGCTGCACATTTCACATTTCCAGTGTGGTGGGTTGTAGCTTAGAGGTTGTTGTTGTTTCCTGCACTTCAGAAATGGAGGACTCAGATCCTAAGTCTACATCCACTAAGTCAGACTACTCATGCTTTGGCAACAAGCAAATAAATGCAAACTTTATCCTTTGCAAAGCTCAAAAACGAAACGAAAACTCACTTTTCACTGCTCTACATAGGTTTATAATAATGTCAAAAAGCCCTTAACTCCATCGCTTTGCACTGAATACTTTGACCTCATCACTGACTGCAAACTCTGTCTCTTTGGTGGACGTTCAGCAGAACAGGTTAAATAACACGAGACGGTGGAAAACAAGTAAAAAGCTGCAACAGCTTCTTCTGAGACCTCTGAGAGGTCAGCACTCAAGACGCTTCGCTCTCAGCCGACGGCACTAAACCACACGTCAGCCCGATGAAAGCATCCCGACCACATCGCAAAGCAGGTGACCTCATGCTTCATATTTATTCACCATATTTCACATCATAATTGTCAAGCACTGGTGTACGTCTGTGTATTGATCAAACAGACACTAACAGACAAACACTGTAACTGGAATGCAAAACAAATCTTAGATGTGAGCAGCAACACAATCGAGTACTGATGACAAAATTCAGTTTATTTTAGTTTAGAAGTGGTCAGTAGGATACCAGGCAGGTTAGTTTGCTAATGGATGTATACAAGGACTCACCAGAGTTTAGTAAAGTTGTACTTAGTTATAAATACTAACAGTGAATTAACTTCCAACAGCTGACTTCCTCTTTAATTCTGCATCATCAGTTGTAGTGTTTACAATATAGATGTACCTAAAATGATTAACCAGAGACTAAAACACTACAGTAATAGTATTATTATCATATGACTGCATTCTACAGTTAAACCAAACCAGCTGTCGATAAAGTTTTGTGACACTTTACAGTCCAGTAAACAAAACTGTGAAGGAACAGGAGACGACGTGATATCGACGTCTGTATAGTCGATAATAGAGAGTTACTAGACAACAGGCTGCGAGATATTAATGACTCATTATGCGACGATTAGCTCATTAATGTCTGGATAATGATGCTTCTCTTCATTCATTGCTAATTACTCACTAATTACTAATTAGTTTTGTGCTCGCTCTGGTTTGTTTTTGAGGAACTGCTTGTTCAGCAAAAACGTAGCTGATGAGGAAGTAATTCAACTTGATTGGTACGTATGAAGCCCCGGCCTCCTGCAGCTGGAGCACACCAGCTCACCACAGTGGAGCTACTCTGTGTTACATAGCAATAAAAACAACAAAAATTTAACTGCAAAAATTTTTTTAAAAATGTTATTTTACATATTTGCCCTGTTATGTTAAAACACAAACTGTATTTAAATCATCAAAAAATATAATTATTTTACAGATATTGGCCATTATTTGACAGAAGAATTATATATAGTAAGGACTGAAAAACACTTTTTTTTCTCCTTTGTTTAGTTACACACAATATATATTCAAATCACAGAAAAAAAATATTAATTTAAATTTTAACTGTAAAAATTTTTTTCTAAAAATCCCCAAACTGTTAATAACTTCAACAAAAAATGTTTTTTTTACAAAGTTTAAATTACATGATTTAAATAAGCAAACTATAACCTTATTGTTCACATATTTAATTATATATATATATATATATGTGAATATGTGATGAACTATAAAGTATGTTCAAATGTGTTTGTTGTGATTTCAATACAAGTGCCTACAGTGTAGCTTGATCTGTATGCATGAGCTGGGCCGGCTGCAGGGCTTTACTTCTGTTCAGCTACATGAGTAATAAGGCCTGCCACAGAATAACGATGAATCCTCACAGTGGCATTCGTTA